AAATGAGGACCCAGATTGTTGGGGGCGATATGCTGACTCTGTAAAACCGCTTAGAGAGGGCTGAAAGCCCTATGAAGCGGTATATAAGTCTAACTGCTATTGCTATTCTGGGAGTTGAAGTCCACAAGTTGCCAAGTTTGGAGGCCCCTTGTTAAGATCACACACACACCCCCAAAAAAGGCCTAAGGACATTGAAAAGGTGGATTTCAGGAGAATCAGCCACCTTTGCAAGGAAGCTTTGGGAGAAAAGGACATTGCACATCCTTGCAAGGGGGAGTCAGGGCCTTCCTCCCTTTTGGAAGCCCAGGCAAAGTTTCCATCCCCCCAGTGGAAGAGTCCCTTCTAAGCACTGATGATGTTCCCTAGCTGGGTCATGAGACGTCTGCAAGAAAACAAGCAAGCTCAGGCAGCATCGCGGACCCCCCAGTCCTCCTCCTCCTCCTCCCACCTTCATTTCTACAAACCCCCCTCGCTTCCAGCACTCCTCCTCCTCCTCCTCTCTCGGAACACCCCTCCTAGCACTGATGATGTTCCCTAGTTGGGCCATGAAACATCTGCAATAAAACCGTCAAGCTCAGCGAGCATCAAGGGCTCCACAGTTCAGGTTTATTAGATTTATTATAAGTCTTTTTCCTGCTCCCCATCCCCACTCTTCTAGCACTGATGATGTTACCTAGTTCGGCTGTGAAATGTCTGCAAGAAAACAAACACGCTCAGAGAGCACCAAGGATTCCATTGTCCTCCCCTCCCTTTCCTCCTCCTCTATATACCCCACTCCCATCTGGCACTGATGATGTTCCCTAGTTGGGTCGTGAAACGCCTGCAAGAAAACCACCAAGCTCAGAGAGCATCAACAGCCCCCCATCTCTTCCTTTTTCCTTCTCTTTCTCCTCCTCCTCCTCCCTGCAAACCCTTCTCCCTTCTAGCCTTGATGATGTTCCCTAGTTGGGTCATGAAACGCCTGCAAGAAAACCACCAAGCTCAGAGACCAACGAGGACCCCTTATAGCAGAAGCAGCCAGGATATTTTGGGGGTGGGGAGGGGGTGGGGGGCTTCCATCTCTCTTCCTGCTGCCAAAGAATACCCAGCCAGCCCCCCCACCAGCCCCCCTCTCAACAGTCTTTCATTTCTTCTGCAAAATGACCCCACATGCATTTGGAGTTCAGCTCCCCACGTTAGGAGAGAGGGGTGTTAGATTTGAAAGTAATATGATTGCACATGTAATACTGTCTTCTCTTATTTTTTTCTTTAAAACTAAGATATGTTAAGTATATTGATANAAAAAAAAAGCAGATCAGAACACTAACAATAAAAAAGAAATCATCTATCCTTCGTCTCTTGCTTGCTTCAATACTTTTAATTGTTCAATACACACTTCAACACAACGGGCAGGTATAAATACGTGTGTGGTTGTCTGCCTGTCACCACAATCGCAACGAGAAGGGCTTACAACCGTTCGTTTCGTGAGCGTTAAAAATGAGAACATCACTGGGGGAAAAAGCCACTTACGGCTATTTTTCACATGGTTATATACTGACTCATATTTATGACGGTTTTGCAGCATCCCGGGGAGTCAGGTGATTGCCCTTTTTGCGACCTTCTGATGGGCGAAATCAATGGGGAAGCCCGGTTCGCTTAACAACTAGGTTGTGAAGTTATACGCCGCAGTGATTACACTTAACAACAACGAAGGCGAGAAAGGGCGTAAAAACCGGGGGGAAGTCACTGAACGCATGTCTCGCTTAACAACAGAAATCCTGGGCTCAATTGTGGTCGGAAGCCCAGGACTAGCCATAAACGAAAAGGCCTGGTTCCGAGTCCCAATCTGGGGCAGCATCCCAGCAGAATCTGGCCAAAAGTTGCTCTGGTTAAATGAAAGACAACGAGGAACTAACAAGCAAGCTAATATAATTCTTCTCCTTTCTCAGCCTGGACGTCTAAAGAGGAATTTTGTTACTTCCTTATTAGGAATGCAGAAGGAACCGAGACGCCGGTTATTTATGATGTTTATCCTTTTATCGCTTCTGAACTCCGTCCAAGAGAGTCATTTTTCTGGCCAAAAGTCAACCACAACCACAAGCCTCTTACCGTTTGGATCGCTCAACCATTTCGTTCTTGGAAATCGCTCTGCTCCGAATTATCCGATACCCTAAAGGGAGGAGGAACACATCCGGGTGAGGTCCGGCTCTCTCGATCCACACCTTGGTTTTACCCTGATGGCCAAGGAACTCAATCCTGGTTTGATGGTCTCCAACACGGGGTAACTTTTCAGACTTGTGGGACTTCAAGTCCCAGAATTCCCCAGCCAGCCAAGGAGGAGGACTGTGGGGTCCTTGGTGCTCTCTGAGCTTGGTGGTTCTCTTGCAAACGTTTCGTTGACCGTCTAGGTAACATCCTCAGGGCTAGAAGGGAGTGAGGCTTGCAGAAAGGAAGGGGAAGAGGAGGAAGAGGAGAGAAGGGGTTGGCAGAGAGGAGGAGGAGGAGGAGGAGCAGCAGGAGGAGGAGCAGGAGGAGGAGAAGGAGGACAATTGTGGGGTCCTTGGTGCTCTCTGAGCTTGGTGGTTTTCTTGCAGACGTTTCATGACCCAACAAGGGAATGCCATCAGTTTTAGAAGGGAGTGGGGTTTGCAGGGAGGAGGAGGAGGAGGAGGAGGAGNAGGTGTAGAGACAAAGGATGACCTTGGATTCTAGAAAGGAATTTTATTTTGGCAACATCACATGCTACTCCTTACTATCCCCCTCCCAATACCCCACTAATGAAACAGCATAGTAGAATAGAATATTAGTGTGGCAGGCCAAAGATCCCAAAAGGAACTGGCTATAGGCCTGACATAGTGAGACAGTCATTCCTGAATGCAGATTTGTCCTGAATACAGAACAGGAAATGATGAGGTCGGAGAGAGATTTTGCTTAAGAAAGCATTGGAAGATGAGATTCCTGTGATAAAATATTGATCCTGAGAGAATGCAAGAAATTAGGAATGCATGCAGAAGAGAAGTTATTGTAACAATGGGAGGCTTCAGTTATCTGCGCATAGATTGGGGGCATTCAAGCATGGATGATGACAAAGAAACCAGACTGTTAAATAATTGTAAGTGATGGTGTCTGAGAATAGTCTTGGAACCAGTTAGAGGGGAAACAACTCTATACTTACTGTAATTCTAAGCGGTGTCAAGGATCCGCTGTAGAACCACTTGGAAACAGTGACTCTAATGCTCTTACGTATAGCAACCACACGAATGAAAAACTGCTAGTAAGGACCAACACTGTCACTGATGACTCAGCATGAGAAGCATTTCAGAAACGAAAGAACTCGTAGGGAAAAAAGGCACCAAAAAGGAAAAGTGAAGAGAGACTCGTATCACTTCATAGTGCCTGAAGGTTAATTAAAGCTATAGTAACTAATTCTCTGCTAGATCGTATTCTGCAGTAGAAAAACAGATCAACCAAATGGAGGAAAAGGGCTAACATGGCTTCCTAGTAGTAGCATCTGGGAAGCTATAACAGTTAAGAAGTCATGCTTCTAGATAAGGAAAAACTGTAAGGAAAAAAGGAGCTCAAACTCTGATCAGCTCCAAATGTAAGCGATGATAAGGACTGCAAAAATAATATTTGAAGAACATATGGCAAAAACTATTAAAGGAAACAATAATTTCTTTACATATATTTGAAACACAAAATGAGCAACAGAACAGCTGGGCTGTTGGAGGATAAGTAAAATGGATGTTTGAGGAGGTTGTGAATATTGCAGGGAACCTCAATGAGTTCTTTGTCTCTTTCTTTACTGCAGAGGATACAGAATAATAGGTTACCTGTTCTTTCTGTTCTCGGAAGAAAGAAACAAAGCAAATTGAAGTAACAAGGCAAGCTATTTCATGACACCTATACTGAATGCACTGTAACCAATCAGTTTCTGATGACATCGTCTTTTAAACTGAAATTGTTGATCTGTTTGTAAAAATATGTAATATCTTACTCAAAGTAATTGCAGTGCCATAAAATGAGAACAGGGGTCAGCAACCTGCAGCTCTGAGCCACATGTGGCTCTTTCATCCCTCTGCTGCAGCTCCCTGTCACCTGTCGACTCCACAATTGATAGGGATTTCAATTAGGACAGAGGAAAAAGGATGCCGTGTTAGGAGGAGACTCTCTGGTGGGAGGACCAGACTTCCGGTTGGCTCCAGAATTGAACAGGGGACTTCCAGTTAGGACCTTTGTGGCTCTTTGAATGTTTAAGGCTGCCGGTCCCTGAACTAGAAGCGAGAAAGGGATACAGGGGAATTCTGGGAAATTCCCTTTCTATGTGTTTGAGATAGATTGATAGAAAGGCGTATTGTAGAATTGCTGCGTCATTGCTAGTTAAGTAGCATGGTTATATATGGATGTTTAATAACGATGTGCAAAATGAAGCCAAGTTCTAATAAAGTTGCATTTTTCATGAAACTAATGAATGGCCATAACGGTTCGAAAATAGAACTAAAATAATTGCTGGTTTCAGTTTGAAATGTGAAAATAAATTGAAACGTTTGAGATGAATTTTGAAATATATTTTGATTTTGTTTCAGTTCAGCCTATGATACCAAAACAAGGCAGAAGGTGGCAGTCAAAAAGCTTTCAAGACCTTTCCAGTCTCTTATTCATGCTAGAAGGACTTACCGGGAGCTTAGATTACTCAAGCACATGAAACATGAAAATGTAAGTGGAAAGATGGTGTTATGTAAACCTCCAATAGAAAATGGCCATTTGTCTTTTGTTCGGTTTTACTGAAGCAGTAATCAGAAAATCCCACATTCATATAGAAGGATAATTTAGCAGAAACACTTGAACACTTGTTACACTGGTGTGTATCCTCAGTTAACCTTACATTCAAGTGAAGATCTGGTTTGTGGTTCTAACAGAAGCAGGCTTTAGCAGGTCTGAGCAGTTTGATTCAGGTAACCATTTAGTGTTCATTTTAAGAGGACTGGAATATTGGTAAATGAAGAGTACTGAAGAATAAGGATGGACTGCATTTTGTTTTTGATCTATCCCTCCCTCCCGCCCCCCCCAAACGGTGGCTTTAATTATTTCAGACAATTTACAGTCATAGCATTAAAGATATTTTTAAAGTTATTCCTGCAAAATAAATGTAGCAAAAATGCATTTATTTTAGTGTTTTGGGGAAGGCTGAATTTTGAGATACAAATGCGGGGGTGTGGTGTGCATTTACCAATAATGTAGAACTTTTTTTTTACATGATTAGCATCAACTGCTAACATTTTAATTGTACCACACACACACACACAAATCAGTTCATTTATAATGTGAGATCAAATAACCTAATTAATATACAGGGATTCACTTGAAAAGTTTTATTTGATTAAGTTTTTTTCCTTGCTGAAGAAAGAGCTGAGCTTGCTTTGCAATAATTATAGAGTACAGAACTAGTTCAGTTATAATAGCCCTAATAATTTCAAAAAGGGTGGGTCTCATATATTTCCTTCTTTCTTTTGTTCCTTTCACACCTATTTTTTCAGAAGGCCAGATTAAATTTGTCTTTTCCATCCAATTTTGAAAAGCCAGGATTGTGCATACATATCATAGTTTTACTGCAAATTAGAGTGACAAACCCAAATAAATCTTAATTTGGGCATAGATTGTAAAGTAGAAAAAAGTGCCATTTTCCCCTAGGTTGAATCTTTCCCAAATCAACCAGGAGTATATATGTTTACAGTAAAGGTAGCCACAATGCTGGTTGTGTAGAAACCAGTGACAATATCAGTATCTTCATCCTGCTCTATAAATCGATATTTTCATGTTTTACTCTATTGTTAAATGCTTTTTTTTTTTTTAAAAAAAAA